ATACAATCATTACATGTGAACATCAATTAAACATTTTTATGAAATGTAACTATCTTCCAAAACAAAGAATCCATTATTTAGTGAGAAGAGTGGCACTATTTTACATTTATGCAAGTTTTCTTAATGGCTAGTTTCATATAGGCAGCTGAATTTATATCTGCTTCTGCATTATGCTGTTTTGATTTGTTGTTTGATTAAAGAATATGAAGAAATTATAATATCAAACAGATATGCAGTCAGAAAGGGGAGGGAATACTTTAATAATTTTTCAGATAACCATGAATTTTCTTCTTCGGTGCTTTGTCAAAACTCAGCATGGGACAGTTTCTTAAAGATGAGTTACATGTCAAATCTGAAACTGGATCTATGAACTTTCCATGCTCGATTTCACAAAACCCTTTGACCTATAAAGCACTTTGAATAGATTTTTCACTTGTTATGGTTTAGTAACACCATGTCAGTCATTACAAAACACTAACTTACAAAACACTAATTTACAAAGAAGTTCCAACATTGTCACATTCTTGTCATCACTATCTCAGGCCTATCACAGCACTGATTTCAGAGGATAAGCCTGCACATCGGGGGAACCTGTCAAAGTCACTTGAAAGCTTGAATGTGATCTTCAGCAACAAATTTTCTATCAATTGTTTCCTGCATGAGCTCACTTCAATTTTGTCTGAGAAATTTTCTGACACCTACCCAAGCTACAGGGATGATAATCTTCATTAAAAGACCACTTTTTTTCAAAGGTAAGATCATGACTCTCATCCTGACATGAAATGGACTTGCTGATGTTGTTTGCTTTTTTTTTTTTTTTAACTCATTATGGGCACACTAAGCAAAGGTTTTCACCAGTTCAAAGGTGAAGCCAAAGAAGGACACGTTTTTAAGGAATGACAATGTTGAAACCAAAGGGTAAAAGGACACAGAACTGGGGGGAAGGGATGTCTCCCCCTCACCAGGCAGTATAATCTGCACATCTGTAGCCAAGATTGTTTCTCATTCTGCTGTAAGTTACCTGTAACTAACAGAACCATAAAATAGTTCCCAGGAAGTCGGAATCAGCTAAGGGCTCAGCAAACAATGCCAGGGATAATCCTCCCCTGAACGTGGGCAGACCAACCCACCCCTCAGGGTACAGCCCTGAAACCCTGGAGTCCATTAGCCCTGGGGCAGCAGACCATGTCCTCTATCTGTGTTCATTCAGGGACTAAGCAGGGCTCAGACTGTGGGGCTGTAACTCCTTGGCTTTTGAGAAGTTGGCAGAAGCAGGTAGGTGTCTCTGACCTCCTCCTGCCCTTCCTCCCAGAAACAGGTGGTGGAAGGATTCTCTCAGCATCCTCAGAAGAGATCCTCATCGGAGGGGAGCCTTCCCTATACCCAGGGGAAAGGAATGGCCCTATCCTGGAAGTCACAGGGACACAGAAAAGAAACTGAACAAACAGGACTTCCTAAGGTCCCCCAGGTTATTATTGCTAGATAACACCTTTTTTTTTTTTTAAGACTTATTGATCTATTTGAAAAGCAGAGTTAGAGAGAGAGGGAGAGGCACAAAGAGAGACAGATCTTCCATCCACTGGCCCAAGCCCCAAATGGCCACCAGGAGCCAGGAGGGAGCCAGGAGCTTCCTCCAGTCCTCCACATGGGTGGCAGGGACCCAAGCTCTGGGGCCATCCTCAGCTGCCCTCCCAAGCAAGGAGCTAGAGTGAAAGTGGAGCAGCCAGGACATGAACTGCCACCCACAAGGGATGTGAGCCCCACAGACAGAGGCTTTACCAGGTACAGCACAGCGCCAGCCCCCAGATAACACTTGTTGTCTTCCAATCCTATTTCTCTACCACTGTGCTCTTTAGATCAAACCTAAGCATGAAAATTGGCAAGTTATCTGATTCTTGAGTTTTCCTTTTTTTTTTTATTTGAAAGGCAGAGGTGTGAGTGCTATGGCACAGAGGGTTAAGCTGCCACTTGGGATGCCAGCATCCCATATCAGATGGCCAGTATTTGAGTCCCTGCCACAAATGAGGAGATCTAGATGGAGCTCTGGGCTCCTTGCTTCAACCTGGCCCAGCCTTGGCATTATAGCCATTTAGGGACTGAACCAGTGACTGAAGCTCGCTCGCTCGTGCTCTCTCTTTCTCGCTCTCTCTCTCCCTCTCTCTCCCTCTGTCACTATTTCAGATGAACAAGTAAATCTTAAAATGCAAAATAAAATTAAATAAAAACCTAAAATTCATCAGGAACGTAACTCCTTCACTGTATTTACTTCCTCTCCCAGGAACTATTGTCATTATACATTTTAGTCCTACCTTGTGATATTGTCTTTTTTAAGATTTATTTATGTATTTGAAAGGCAGAGTTACAGAAAGGCAAAGGCAGAGAGAGAGAGAGAGAGGTCTTCCATCTGCTGGTTCACTCCTCAAATGGCCACAACAGCTCAAACAGAGCCAATCCAAAGCCAGGAGCTGGCAGCTTTTTCTGGGTCTCCCACATGGGTGCAGGGGCCCAAGGACTTGGGCCTGTTTGCCAGGCCATAGTAGAGAGCTGGATCAGAAGTGGAGCAGCCAGGACTCAAACCCATGCCCATATGGGACGCCTGCACTACAGGCGGCTGCTTTACCCACTACGCCACAGAGCTGGCCTGTGGTGTGTTTTTTAACCAAGTCGTCAGCATTGCTTTGCAGAAGTGATGACTGTTTGCTGTGACTGCCACTTCCCTGGATCCTTGGTGCTTCCTGAACTTTGCACCCTCCTTCTGTCCAAAGTACAGCTCCGGAATTTCATTTGCCAGCATTCTATTGCTGGTGAGGAAGTCTCTTGGATTTCACCTGGAAGTCTGTATTTCCTATAACTTTCCAAAGAAATTTCTTCTGCAGTGTATCTGCTCCCAGGCTCACAGTCTCAGCAAATACGAGCTGTGTCAGAGGTTTTTGCTGTTGGCACTGAGAAGACCACTGCCAAGGCAGCTCTCACTCTCAGTGGTCACCCATCTCTCCCAGATCCTTCTGTCGGGGGCTGGCGCTGTGGCGCAGCGGGTCAACGCCCCGGCCTGAAGCGCCAGCATCCCATATGGGCGCTGGTTCTAGTCTTGGCTGCTCCTCTTCCGTTCTAGCTCTCTGCTATGGCCTGGGAAAGCAGTGGAAAATGGCCCAAGTCCTTGGGCCCCTGCACCCACGTGGGAGACCTGGAAGAAGCTCCTGGCTCCTGGCTTCGGATCGGCGCAGCTCCGGCCACTGCAGCCATCTGGGGAGTGAACCAATGGATGGAAGACCTCTCTCTCTGTCTCTACCTCTCTCTGTAATTTGGTCTTTCAAATAAATAAAATAAATCTTTAAAAAAAAAAAAAGATCCTTCTGTCTTTGTCTTCTGCAGTGGTGCCTGTGAGTGATGGAGCTGTGGATTTCCTTCTGCTCATCTGGCCTGCGAGTCAGTGGGGTTCCTCAGTGTGGGGACAGCTATCTTTCACCAACACTGAGAGCTCTTCCACCACCACCCCTTCAGATACTGTTTCTGTGCCATTCTTTTTATTTATAGAAAACTTTTATTAAATAAATATAAGTTTTGAAAGTACAACTTTTGGATTATAGCGGTTCTTCCCCCCATAACCACCTTCCCACCTGCAAACCATCCCATCTCCTACTCCCTCTCCCATCCCATTATTTATTGATTCATTTTTAATTATCTTAAATAAAGAAGATCAACTTAGTACATACTAAGTAAAGATTTCCACAGTTTGCACCCACACAGACACACAAAGTATAAAATACTGTTTGAAGACTAGTTTTACTGTTAATTCTCATAGTACACCTCATTAAGGACAGAGATCCTACATGGGGAGCAAGTGCACAGTGACCCCTGTTGTTGATTTAACAACTGACACTCTTATTTATGAGGTCAGTAGTCACCCAAGACTCTTGTCATGAGCTGCTAAGGTTATGGAAGCCTCTTGAGTTCACAAATGTTGACCTTATTTAGATAGGGCCACATGAAAAGTGGAAGTTCTCTCCTCCCTTCAGAGAAAGGTACCTCCTTCTTTGATGGTCCCTTCTTTCCGCTGGGCTCTCACTCACAGAGATCTTTCATTTAGGTTATTTTATGCATAGTGTCTTGGCTTTCCATGCCTGAAATACTCTCATGGGCTTTTTAACCAGATTCAAATGCCTTAAGGGCTGACTCTGAGGCCAGAGTGCTGTTTAGGTCATTTGTCATTCTATGAGTCTGCTGTGTATCCCACTTCCCATGTTGGACTGTTCTCTCCTTTTTAATTCTATCAATTAGAATTCTTATTAGCAGACACTGGTCTTATTTATGTGATCCTTTTGTGTCATTCTTTCTGTCTTCTCCCAGCACACCAATGGCTCTTCTCCCAGACTATTTCACTCTCCAGTTCTCTTAACTTTTCTTTCACATTTTCTCCGTCTCCTTGTGTCATATTTTTCCACAACTCTCCCTTAAGTTACTAATTCTCTCCTCAGTTACATCTAATTAACTGACAAGTCCATAATTTTTCATTTCTAGAAGTTATTTTTCCACTTTGTCATTCTGTAGTCTGTTTATTCATCATTTATTTCTTTAGACTCACTGAAATACCTCCTTTGTCTTCTGTGACCAGTCTTTCCACTCTCTGCAGTCTTCTTGGGTCTGATTCTGTCAACTGTTGTTTCTCTTGGCTCAAAACTCCATGCTGCCTGCCTTCCTTCCTTACATATTTTATAGTTTTTTTAAATATTTATTTCATTTATTTGACAGGCAGAGTTACAGAGAGAGGTAGAGACACAGAGAGAGGTCTTCCATCTGCTGGTTCACTCCCCAGATGGCCACAATGGCCGGAGGTGTGCCGATCCGAAGCCAGGAGTCAGGAGCCTCCTCCAGGTCTCCCACGCAGGTGCAGGGGCCCAAGGACTTGGGCCATCCTTCACTGATTTCCCAGCAGAGAGCTATATTTCTTCCACAGCAGAGCTGTATTGGAAGTGGAGCAGCCAGGTCTCGAACTGGTGCCCATATGGGATGCCGGCACTTCAGGCCAAGGCGTTAACCCACTGCGCCACAGTGCCAGCCCCATATTTTATTGTTTTGATCATGAACTGAAATTGCTTAAGGAATGAGCATGAAGAATTCCTTGAGACATGGAGGTGTGGGGAGCAACCCGGACTGGACTGAGTTACTGGAATTAAGACTTATTCTATGCATCTGCTCTCCCACAATATGGCGCTGAGAAGGGAGAGACGGCTTCTGCACAGCTGCCTCCAGTTCAACCAATAGGCAGCAGGACCTGCTCCTGATTGGAGGAGAGCAGCGAACTCGGCGTGTGGGCAGCCGAGTTGGGATTGGCGGAGGAGGACTATAAGGGAGGAGAGAGACGGCATGCACCAGGAACATCTAAGGGGAACATCTAAGGGGAACACCTGTGCAGCCCCCGAGAGAGCCGGCCGGCGGTGTGCCGCTCCCCCACGGAAGTGGGGAATGTGGCAGGGGGAACCGCCCTTCCACGGAGGTGGAAGGGTCGGTAGCCAACCCGGGAAGAACCAGCAGCAAACCCGGGGAGGGCCGAGCAGACAAAAGAACAGCGCAGGGTCCTGTGTCGTTCCTCCATGAAGAGGGGGAGCGACATGGAGGAAGACAAGTTCCTCTAAGAAGATGTGAACTTGATCCTGCTAGGCTCCTTGGAAACATTACCAACTTGGCGGAAGTTTGATTGTGGAATTCATGTTATAAACCCTCATAAAGGCTCACAAATTCTCATAGAAGATTTTTAGGGTCATCCACACAGTTTCAATGTTCTAGACACATGATTGTTTTCATCTTCCAAATGCCATTTTTATTTTTTTCTTTGCCTTTTTTTTTTTTTATTTGAACAGCAGAAAGAGACAGAGAGAGAAACAGATCTTTCATCCACTGGTTTTCTTCCAAATTCCAAAAACAGCCAAGTCCAAGCCAGGAGACCAAAACTCAATCCCTGTCACCCCCATGGACAGCAGGGATCCAAGTACTTACACCGTCACCTGCTGCCTCCAGGGTGCGCATTAGCAGAAGGGTGCATTCAGAGGTGGAGCTGGACCTGCTCTCAGGTGCTGCCTTCACCTCTGCAAAAACACCTGGCCCACGTCAGGTTGATTTCTAAACCAGCCTCGCACTGAAGAGTGGCTGTTTGAGATCTACCTTTATGGGAGGGGTCCTATTAGACCCTTACCTTAGACAGGTGCTGGGTTTCATCTCCTGTCCACAGTGACTGAAACCATGAAAAACTCACCTGGTTCAGCAAGTATCTATGAGGCAAACACCACTTTCAGGCTTGGCTTATCTTTCTTAAATATTTATTTTGAAAGTCAGAGATACAGAAAGAGAGGAAGATAAAGAGACAGATCTTCCATCTGCCGGTTCACTCCCCATATGGCCACAATGAACAGTACTGCGCCAGGCTGAAGACAGGAGCAAGTAGCTTCATCTGGTCTCCCATGTGGGTGAAGATCACCACTGATCTTCCAGGAGCATCAGCAGGGAGCTGGATCAGAAATAGAGCAGCCAGGACTTGAACCTGCCGCATGTGGGATGCCAGCATTGCAGGCAGTGGCTTTACCTGCTATGCCACAATGCCGGCCCCTGGCATCTAAATTTTAGCAAGTGTGCATGTAAGCTTCATGTACACTAAACTCAGAGCCAGTGCTTCCCAAATTACTAATGAGCCAGGAGAATATCAGGAAATTAGTTTTTTTAATGAAGTAGAATAAAAACTCTCAGTGTCTCTCAAGTACAGATGAGTATTGTTGTCTGAAACCTGCCTTTTGGTGTTAAAGTACGCATGTGTATATGATGTGTTGTGCTGAGCTATTTTATGGCTTGAGGTTGAGAGAGAGAAGCATTTCCTCCAAAGATAGCCTTCCTATTATTCTTTTTTTTTTAAGATTCATTTATTTGAAAGGTAGATTGACAGAGAAGGAGAAAGAGAGTTCATCCATCTGCTAGTTTACTCTCCAAATGGCCTCAAAGGCCAGGCAGAAGCCAGGAGCTAGGAGCTTCATCCAGGTAGGGGGAGGTTGGGCCCCAAGGACTTGGGCCATCTTCTGCTGCTTTCCCAAGTGCATTAACAGAGAGCTGCATTGGAGGCAGAGCAGCTAAGATACATATCAGCACCCATATGGGATGGTGGTGCTGCAGGCAGTGGCTTTATCCACCGCACCACACCAGCCCCCTTTCTATTATTCCTCATCAGACTGTCCCTGTGATTAAAGTGTTGGGAGGAAAAGAAATAGTTGAATCTCCCCGTGAAATCACTCTGCCCATAGCACACAGACACACAACTGTGTGTATGTAAACAGATTAATCTGGGCCCTTCTTGGCACAGAAGTAACTGGTGAAAAAGCATCATGGGGGCCTGTGATATAGCAGGCAAAGCCACTGTCTGCAGCACCACCATCCCATATGGGTGCCGGTTTGAGTCCTGGCTGCTCCACTTCTGCTCCAGCTCCCTGCTAATGTGCCTCTGAAAGCACTGGAAGACGGCTCAATTTCTTGGGCCCCTGCATGCACATGGGAGGCCCAGATGAAGCTCCTGGCTCCAGGCTTCTGCCTGAACCAACCCTGGCCATTGCCACCACTTGGAAAGTGAACCAGTAGATGGTTTTTCCCTCTCCCTCTTTCCCTCCCCCTCCCCAACTCTTTCAAAAAAATAAATATTTTTTTTAATTTAATTTTATTTTTTTTTTATTTTTGACAGGCAGAGTGGACAGAGAGAGAGAGACAGAGAGAAAGGTCTTCCTTTTGCCGTTGGTTCACCCTCCAATGGCCGCCACGGCCAGTGTTCTGCGGCCGGCGCACCGCGCTGATCCGATGGCAGGAGCCAGGTGCTTCTCCTGGTCTCCCATGGGGTGCAGGGCCCAAGGACTTGGGCCATCCTCCACTGCACTCCCGGGCCATAGCAGAGAGCTGGCCTGGAAGAAGGGCAACCGGGACAGAATCCGGTGCCCCGACCGGGACTAGAACCCGGTGTGCCGGCGCCGCAAGGCGGAGGATTAGCCTGTTGAGCCATGGCGCCGGCCAATAAATAAATCTTAAAAGAGAAAAAGCACTGTTGTGCCCCTGGTGTATGGGTGACAATACACTGTTGATTGCCACCCACTTCAGGACTGTTTTCTTAATATTCCTCAAGAGATTTCCAAACCTGTATCCAGCTCTCATTACACCTTGGCAGCTCTGTATTTAAGGGGATGAAGGAGCACAAAATCCTGACAGGACAAATTCAGAGGATCCTGCAGGGCCTTGGCTGGGCAGGGTTTTGTGCACTGGCTTTGCTCGCACAGCATATCACAGGTTGTAGTCTGGAACACCTTTGGCTACTTGGATTTTTTCTTTGCACTTGTTCTTGGGGCAATGGGGCATGTATCTGTGGCCTAGTTTCCCAAAAAACAGATAAGCAAGGACAAGTACAAGTGTATCCATGCAAGTGTCAACACTACAAACACACACATACACACACACACACACCTGCAGTCTTAAATATAATGCACACATTTCAATCATTCAGCTAGTACCTCTAAGATTCTTTAAACAGTTCATAGAAAATGAATATTATGACAAAAATCCATGCATGTATTTCAAAAATCTTTTTACACCAAAATAAATTTACTTTTTAATTTAATTTTCCACAAATTTTTCAAAATATCCTCATACGTTCTCCATTCCCAGCTACCTGCTATACTATCATTTACCTTTTTGCTTTCAGCTGGGTCACTTTTTATAGACATTAATTTTTCATAAGGAAGATTTTATAATGCTCCGTAAAGAAGGTAACAGTAGAAACAGAGGGAGGGAGGAGAGCCAATTACCACACCCGGGGTAACTTCTGCTGCCTGCGGAGGCTCAGAAACAGGGAAGCCCGTTCTCTTTGTTGGAGGGAGAGAGCGAGCGAGAAAGCGAGCAAGCAATTCCATTATTTCCTTTTAAAGACTTACTGGGGCTGAACCGAATCTTTCTCTGTGACGTTATCGAAGGCACAAGCAATCAGGAAAGGGAATCGCATCCTGGAGAGTGAGTCCACTGCGTGTCCACCCTGCTGCGAGGCTGCATGCGACCTCTGAGAATCCCCAGCCTCCAGCTCCGGGGGAGCACGGCACAGCTTTGTAGGCATCACACTGCACTGCACATCAGAACCACCCACAGGGCCTGCTGGAACCCCACAGGGCTGGGCCTCACCCTCAGTTTGAGACCCAGCAGGCCGAGACCAGAGTCTGTATCTCTGGCATGAGAATCACTGCAGAAGTAACAAGGGGGCTTCAGGAAGTTGGTGGGAAATGAAATTAAAGGGAAGTTTATTTAGGTACAAAAACATTCTGAAATCCATGCATTGCTCTTCCCCCAGGACGCAGTCTCCAAGAACTTTCCTATGTGTGGGTTTCACAGCCCAGTGTGCTCTTTCTTCCACTCTAAACGCCGACCCTGCCAACTTATGTCCACCCCAGGGATTCCCGATCTTGACAACCAAACCGAACACTCTTTTATTCTCCCTTCACATGCCCCAGGATTTGAGATTCATTTTGTCTATCAACCAAAATGTATTTATCAACCAAAAATGAATTCGCTTTCTCATGTTTTATTAATCAAAGACACCAGTAACTGCCAATCAGAGCTTTCAGTCCGCATGGGGTAGCTGGTGCTCCTATAGAGAGTTGATGTAATTCTAGCCCTGAGCAAAGAAACCTGACGTTTCCATTTAATTAGGCTGTATATCTAATCTCTGGTAAATACGATCTCTCTGGACTGGTCTTTTTTGAAGAAGTGCAAGCAGCACTTCCCATTATTCCCCTCCTTCCCGTTACTGCTCTGCAAGATCCCCGGGGGCCTGGAAGGCTCAGGCGGGACCACCTGGTACACACCATGCGCTGCTCACTTTGGGTCATCTCTCCTACCCCGTCCCCCCGAGTGCACAGGCGCTGCACGTGACCCTTCTTTGTAGACTACATAGAACCTTGCTCAGGGCTTCAGATCTCACAACTGCTGGAGGGAAAAAACTAAAAAGAGAAAAGCAAGAACCGTACGTTTTTCACTGACATGACTGACTACCACAGTTGTGCCCATGGAAGAGCAGCCCAGTGAAAGGGCACGTGCAGAAAAGCAGCCCTGTGCTGTAAGCAGGAGGGGTCAATCCCAAAGTCACCCTCCCCGGGGACAACTGAATCAACAAAACAGTGGCCACGCCAAGGCTGGTACAGACTTGACCACGTGCCTGGTAAGTTCGCAGAATGTGACCGCACTTGATTCCACGGCCTGGTTCCACTGGCAGGCTGGTGAGGGGAGGTGTTTGAAACATGTGTGACTCTAGTGCAAGCAACTCCGTGACTTAGAGCAATAGTAAGAGCTGAAGGAATCAGAGAAGCGTCTGTCTTCCTCAAGACTAGCGGACTCTTCTTTGTGCCAAAATTCTGTAATGTCCAACCTTCTGGAAGCCACTCTTGGTGCTAATGATTCTGACCACATTTTATCCTAAAATTCCATAGCAATATGGACACGCCGCACGACACATTGAAATTGCTACTGAAGCATTTTCAGGTGTGTGTGTGTGTTGGCACCCTTCTCCCCTCCAAGAAATAACTCCCCATCCACTTGTGACCAAGACGTGATTATCACAGGGTAATGTGTTTAGTGACGTCCTTGCTTACGGCAGGCATCATTTACAAAAACCAAATGCCAATGAAAGCAAGCTGTATTACCTGTCATGAACCTGCAGGCGCTCCTTCCTGTCCGTCACTGTGAAAGGGACACTCCAGCAGTACGGTGAGCACTGCCTTGGATAGTTGCAGACTCCGATGACTCTGGACAAGATGCAGAGAGCAAGGGTTGGGTTGTTGCTTTGCTTGGCCCAGAGACACAC